AACTGTATATTATAACCTATTAAATGAAATAATAAATGGATAAGAATGATAAATGTTAAAACACCTGTAACCAAATGACATGCTGTATGTGATGAGGGTTTTTTTGTGTGTGTGTGTGTTTTATTTTTCCTTTTTGTTTTTGTTTTTTCATTGTTGTGTGTATGTGTTGTCTATGTAATAAAAATAAAAATAAAAAATAAAAAAAAAGAACCGGTGGGAATAATTGGACTTACCAGCTTCTGGAAGAGATGTCCCAGGACCACCTCGCTGTCCCAGTTCTGCAGATGTGGCCAGAGGTTGTCGTACATTTCCTTGTGGATCTCGTAAAGATCCTGGATCTTGTAGAAGATGGTTTCGATCTGCTGGATCGTGAGGACGGGCTGGGAGGTGGTCGCCGTGGCCCTCAGGGGCTTGATCGGCTGCAGGGGAGGGGGAGAGGAAGAGCCATCAGATGGGGGGGGGATAATCCCTGGGACCCCCCTCCTCTCCCCCCCACACACCAGGGGGTCTGTCTTATTTGATTGGCCAATTTCCTGAGATTTTGACCATAAAGCTTCTGTCCCAGAGAACCAGATGGCTTGTATTGCAGTGGGGTCTCCAAAACGAGGCCCCTTTAAGACGGGTGGACTTAAACTCCCAGAATTCCCAGAGTTAAGGGAGTTAAAAACCCACAAGCCTTAATGTGGCCACATTTGGAGACCCCTGTTGTATTAGGAACTCCCTTGTTTTGAACCCCACAACAACCCTGTGAGGCAGGCAGGGTGGAGAGAGAGAGACAGAGACAGAGGGAGAGAGGGAGAGAGAGGGAAGGAGGGAGGGGGAGAAAGGGAGGGAGGGAAGGACAGAGAGGGAGACAGTCTGCTGTCTCGTCCGTCTGCTTCCTCCTGGCTGGCCTTCCTCCCCTCCCACGTCCCACCATGAGTAAAGCAATATCCTCCAACTTCCATAATAACTAAACAGTAAAAGTAAAAAAATAAATAAAATCGAACGAAAATAATAAAAAATAAAAATAATAAAATAAAGCCAAGTGAAATAAAGTAAAATAATAAATTTAAGCTAAGCAATAAATGAAATAAAAAATAAAACAATACAGTAAAATAGAATAGAATAAAGTAAACTTAAGCTAAAGTAAAATAAATAATAAAATAAAGTAGAATGAAATAAAATAATAAAATAAAACAATAAAGTGAAATAGAATATGATAAAATAATAAAGTAAAACTAAGCTGAGCTGAAGTCAAATAAATAATAAAATAAAGTAAAATGAAATAAAGTAATAAAATAAAATAAAGTGAAATAAAAAGTAAACTAAACTAATAAAGTAAAATAAAATAATGAAATGAAATAAAATAGTAAAGTAAAATAAAGCAAAATGATAAAATAAGAGAAGAAATGAAATAAAATAGAATAAAGTAAAATAATAAAGTAAAGTAAAGTAAACTAATAAAATAAGATAAAGTAAAATCAAATGAAATAATAAAATAAAACAATAAAGTAAAATAGAATAAGGTAAAATAATAAACTAAGCTAAGCTAAAGTAAAATAAATAATAAAATAAAGTAAAATGAAATAAAAAGTAAATAAACTAATAAAGTAAAATAAAATAATAAAATGAAATAAAATAGTAAAGTAAAATAAAATGAAGCAAAATAGTAAGAGAAGAAATAAAATAAAATAGAATAAAGTAAAATAATACAGTAAACTAAACTAATAAAATAAGATAAAGTAAAATAAAATGAAATAATAAAATAAAATAATAAAGTAAAATAGAATGAGGTAAAATAATAAAGTAAACTTAAGCTAAAGTAAAATAAATAATAAAATAAGATGAAGTAAAATGGAATGAAATAATAGAATAAAATAATGAAGTGAAATAAAAAGTATGCTAAAATAATAAAGTAAACTAAAATAATGAAAATGAAATAAAATAATGAAAATAAAATAAAATAATGAAAATAAAACACAACAAACACAAAAACAAAATAAAAATAAAAACAACAACACAAAACAAAACAAAAAGCCCTAAACAAAAACAAAAAAAGAACAGAACAGAACAGAACAAGACCCAGTCAGTTTCTCTGCTTCCCCCTAATCTTTACTCACCAACAACAGCGCCTCCAGCTGGTTAATGTACATTTCCTCGCTGGCCAGGAAGTCCTTCAGCACCAACTTACGCATCTCCACGCCTTTCCCGGCATCGTGTTCCTCCTGCAGGAGGGAGAGTTAGGGCAAAGTTACAAGGGTCCGGGACCCCTCAGGGAGATCCTCGACATGCGACCACAATTAAGCCCCAAAATTCCCCTGCTAAGTGCGACGGTTGTAAAGTGAGCTTTGCCCCATTTGTTTGTTCTCTATTCAGTGAATCGCTGTAGTTAGTAATAATGTCATTAAGTGAATTTGTCTCCCCCCCGACAATTGATTTTGCTTGTCAGAAGGTTGCAAAAACGAGGACTGTCCCAGAGTGGCTCAACTGTGGTTGTAAGTTGAGGACTAGCAGTATTTACATTCCACCTCTTTTTGTTCTTGCAAACCTGTCTCTTGTTTAAACTTGTCACTTTTTTCATCAACGTCTCAGCATTTCAAATTAAATCAGAATAGAGATGGAGGGGACCTTGGAGGTCTTCTAGTCCAGCCCCCCTTACTCAAGCAGGAGACCCCAGATCATTTTAATCAATCAATCAATCAGAATAGAGCTGGAAGGGACCTTGGAGGTCTTCTAGTCCAGCCCCCCTACTCAAACAGGAGACTCCAGACCATTTCAATCAATCAATCAATCAATCAATCAATTAGAATAGAGCTGGAAGGGTCCTTGGAGGTCTTCTAGTCCAGCCCCCTACGCAAGCAGGAGACTTTATACCATTTCAATTAATCAGAATAGAGCTGGAAAGGACCTCAGAGGTCTTCTAGTCCAGCTCTCCTGCTCAAGCAGGAGACCCCAGACCATTTCAATCAATCAATAGATAAATAAATAAACAAATAAATCAAAATAGAGCTGGAAGGGACTTTGGAGGTCTTCTAGTCCAGTCCCCCTACTCAAACAGGAGACCCCAGACCATTTCAATCAATCAATCANGACTCGGCTCCCTCCGAGACTCGTCCTGTCGCTCCTCGCACGCGGAACCTTCTGAAATAAATAGCCCACTCTTCCCTCCACTCGGAAGGCCCTGAGATTCCCAACCAAAGTCCCTTCTTCCTGCGGTCCCAGCAGGGTAGCCCCTCACCTAATCTTCCTCTTTTTCCACGTAGGCTTTGGGGCCCACGCGGGCCATTTGCCGGGAGAGGTATCGGTCCCGGGCAGACGAGACGGTCTCCTGGTTGCTGCGCTTAGCGAATTTGTTGACTTTCTCGGCCGGCTTTTCGAGGGTCTCCCGGCTGTCTTCGGAAGCCTTGTGGGTCACCTCGGCGGATTTCTCAGGGCTGGGAAGGTTCCCCCCTTGAGTTTGGGGGTCTTCTTGGGCCACGGACCCTGAGCTGTGTTTCCTCCTCGTCTTCTCGTCTCGGTCTGAGTCCCTCCCCCGTCCTTTTTCCCTGTTTCCATCTCGGTCTTTCTCTCTGGCCCGATGTTCCTTCTTATCTCTTCCTCTCCTCTGCTCTCGCTTCTCTTCCTCCTCCTCCTCCCAGTCCTTCCTCTTTTGCCGGTCCTCTCGGTCTTCTCGTCTCCTGTGATGGCCGTCGCTCCGGCTTCGCTCATCCTTTCCATGTCTTCTCTGGCTATTTCTGTCATCGCTCTGGTGGGCTTCGTCCCTTTGGCGGTCTCGCTGCTCCGCCGGAGGGGAGCGCGGAGGTCTTTCCTTGCTGGGAGATCTGGAGTCCCTCGGGCTTTGCTTCGATTGGCGACCACGGAGGTCCCCGTCACCTGCCCCAGAAGCTCGCTGCTCACCGCGTCTCTCCGGGACTCCCTCAGCAACCGTCTCCTCGCCATCGCTGCTATGGGATCGCGAGTCGCTGTCCGCATCCAGGTTCTCTTCTCCCTTCCCGGGAACACAAGTTCCCGTTTTGCTTTCCAGATTTTGATGGGAGCCTGTCGGCTTCTCAGCTGGATCTTCTCCTTTGAACCTAAAAGTTGTTTGGAGACAAAATAATCCGTAAGCATTAAGTTGCTATAAATACAGGTAGCCCTCAACTTACAACAGTTTGTTTACTGACCGAAGTTAGAACGGCATTGAAAAATAGGATCCTTTTTCACACTTACAACTGTTGTAGCATCCCCAGTTATCAAGTGATTAAAATTTGGATGCTTGACAAACCGGCTCACATTTATGACGGTCACAGCATCCCGGGGTCGCATGTCTTTTGTGACCTTCTGACGAGCAAAGTTCATGGGGAAGCCAGATTCACTTAACAACCGTGTTACTAATTTAACAACTGTGATGATTCACACAACAGTTGTAAATGTGAAAAAGGATCCTATTTTTCAACGCCGTTCTAACTTCGGTCAGTAAACAAACTGTTGTAAGTTTAGGGCTACCTGTATTTATAGCAAATTAATGCTTACGGATTATTTTGTCTCCAAACAATGTTTAGGTTCAAAGGAGAAGATCCAGCTGAGAAGCC